GCGCGCGACTGGCACCCATCGGTGGGTAACACTGTCCCAGGAGAAAACTCTTTCAGTGGCTGACTGAATTCAGCAACTGGTGAGAAATAAGGAAGTATGGTGGCACCCAAAATTGAGTGCCAATGCATTATGCGCTAGTCATAGTGGCACCCACCGGTGGGTGCCATTGTCGTCAAAGGGCTGAGAGCTAAGAATTTATTCCGTTTCCGACAGTGATCCCTCACCAGCTGAGCACTTCATCTTAACTCTTTACTTCTCCCATTTCATCAAGCTTTTACAGCTTAGTTCAGCTGTTGTCAGCGGCTGGGTCACTTCAAGGTATTGAGTCATGAACTTTCCCGATGCAGGCTGCCTACGATTAGCTTTGAGAACTGTTCATAGCTGACCAGCTCGGTCCCTTCCGCATTCCCTGCGATGTCGTCAGTGCAGGGGACAGTTTCTGCGATTTCTTCACAGACCCGTTAGTGATGTCATCAGTCGCTACAAGGAAGACGGAAGGCTCAAACTCATCTTCGCCTTTTGTTAAGATGTGAGCTTCGCACAGCTTGCTTATACATATTGAACGTACAATTGAGAAGGAAGCTCCAGAACTTCCTCGCTGCAAAAGAATGGTCAATAGAACTACAACCCGAGGAAAGCTGCGTAAAAGAGCTCAAGCTCTTCTCAATAATTCCAAATCATCTGTCAAGCTACAAAATTGGAATCCATTCAAGCTCTCAGCTCAGAAAGCCGAACTGATCTTGTGAGGTCAAGACAAGTTCCCCTTAACCTGTGAATGCAATGCGCCGTCTGCCCCATCGCACAGTTGTTACTACGCTAAAAATCTCCATCGCTTTATTTGTGCCCAAGATTGGAACGTACATAGTAGCACTTTTCCGTAGATCTCTTAGCGTGGGCACCCAGAAAAGCATATTACCAGAAAGCACGTAGCGAGGAACCATACGCCATCGTTTTTAGGAATCCCTAAGACGTTGTTCAAAAAAAGATCCCTCCACAGATGATACTTTTCATCATATTCAATATTTGCATGTGTTTTGGCACCTGCTCCATAAATTACCCTTTTCCTTCTCTTTTCCGCAAAATCACACCCTAACGATCTGGAAGGCGAATTCAAATGCTTCCAGCTAGTTCAAGTAAAAATGACTGGAGGGAGTTTTCCATTCAAATTCCAAGAAGATGTGGCGGAGAACGACTGTTAGCTTGCAAAAGTGCAGGGCTTTTCATATCTATGTTTGCCTATGCAAAATTCAACTTTGTTTGCTCTTGTGATGCATTTGGAAGACATGCATATGTAATTACGACTCTCTCAGAGGGTTCACTTTCACTAAAGATTCTCTAGAATCTTGGAGACTGGGCTACGTGGCACCGATCCTTCACTATTTCTGCTGTGTTGGGTCGAAGTATACTTCTGTCGAGACTGTCCTCGTTATATAGGCATGACATGAAGCTGCGACCGAATAGAAGATGGATGGATAGACCTGGAAAAGCTCTACAAAGAAGACCATACATTTTCAGGGTCGTCGTCGGTTATTTTATGAATTGCCTCGGGAAGGAAAACGGCTGACAAATTCCACTTCGCAAATCACAGAACTGAAAGAAGTGAGCACTGTGAAGGACTATTCGACTTCATTGCGTCTACCCTTACCATACATGTTCCTGTAATTCATGTCCGCACGTTCGCAGTTCCTAATGCCCTCTCATTATTAATGAATTTTCGAGCAACCTGGCGGATAGTTCTATAATTACGTACACTACAACATCGTGTATCAGAAGTTTTGCGTGACTTATTTCGCTGTTGTTCCGAAGTCCTACACGGAATCCAACCAACGTCCTCTATCGATGAAGTTGCATGAACTCTATTTCATGTTAGCCTCTTGTTTTTTGTTGTCCGCTCCAACTCCTATCCGGCGGGGGGAGGCGCGAAAGCAGCGTGGCGCATTCAGCGGGGGATTTCAGGTTCCCAGCACTACCGACCAACCCACTGCCAACGGAATCGCCGAGCTGTCTCGTCGATCACGGCCATCGGCGATTACGGTAGACTTTAGGCCGGATCTGACTTCGTCAAGAAGAAGATGAGACTGGCGGACTCGTCAAGGCGCCCCTTCTAGGAAACGAGTATTTGGACCATTGAACCGCCACGATGTCACGAAATCAAGGGAAGTTGCTATGTTGTTGAACACTGAGCTTAGTCCAACCTGTGAAAGTTTCGGAGAGAATTTGTATATCCAATGAATATTTCTGTTGTAAAGAGAGCCAACGAAAAACGTGAACAAATAACATTCATATCTTTGAAGTGATGCCATCAGAACAAATATGTTGTCAACCATACTGCACGAGCTCCAATGTCAAGCTGGAATCGACGATCAGAAGAAGGAGTTTTGGGACCGTCGATTCGTCTCAGATTCCATAGCTGATGCATGGAGAGTTTGAGAGTGGCAGTACCATTTGGCAATAGTCGAGCAGTTGACAATGCTTTAGCATATGTGCACCGCACCAGACTGACAGCAGAAACTTCATAAGGTGATTTCATTTCAACAGATGTCGTCTAGCATTTCTCTGTTACCCTCTAACTGTGCCTTCCTACGAGAGATTCTGTAGCAAACCAACATTTAATCACCAATGAAGCGATGACTTTGACATTTTATCCTTTGTGTTGCCTCTACTGCTTCTATACTTTTTTTGCAACAAGCGAAGAACAAAGCCAATATTTGCAGAAGTCAATCTATAATTACGCAAATCGAGATTTTTCATTGAATTCCTAGTTTTGATTCCATTCCAATCTTAACTGAATGCTGCACTGCTTTGTTATTTCTGGCGTATTCAAAATTTCAAGTAACTTTCTCCGCCTTCAATCTGCTCAATGGGCGGAAATGGCATAGTGCCAATAGCCGCCTTGACAATTGAGCCTTCCAATACATCGGGCTACAGTGCAAGAGCGATCGCTATTCCGAGAAAAGTCAGTCTTAAGCCAAAAAATACCGTCTTAGATCCAGCGAATGTTCCTTCATTAGCGTGAATATCTTGGCTGTTACGTCATCAAAACTGCACGGCCCTGCCATGCATGCAATAAATATGACGGCAAATTGCGCCACTTCCCATTTGAGATGGGGGGCGCACTTTTTTTGCGAAACGCATGATTACAGGATCCCACGCAGTTGAGCGTGAGCATTATTAAGCCAAAAAACTCATTATAAATGCTAATTCCGATCTTTTCTGGACCTTTTAATACTTCTAAAAAGGACTTGAAATTCACCTAATGAGAATATCAAAAAACCTGTCATTCATTCGTAGGATCAATCATGTCAAACTTGATGACAAACGTATGACTGCTTTATTAGAATAGTAAAAGCTTCAATTATGATGGGTTGTTGGAAAACCATAGTGATTTCTGAGCGTTTGGGGAAATTGTCCTCCCAGGGGAAGATCCTTGTTCAACCATATTTACTCTATTTCATTCGATTATCTTTCGCCACCTCTCGAATAATTTCATAGCTCCCCTCTCAAAAGGCTTTTGGTTTTCGGAAAAAATTGGACTATGATATTTGATATTCTCGTCTTCTGCGAAATCTCCCTCATTCCATAGTGGGTGTGGTGCGATTCACGCGTCAATATAATGAGGTCATCGGAGAAAACGCGCTAAAACATCATGCCTACCATCATAACGGAAGAAATAAGAACGTATAAGTAGAATAAGTAAAGAAATGACCAACTGTACACGTTTACAGAAGGATTGCGTTTTTTAGGGCCAAAAAATTTGAAGTTATTCTTATTTTGAACGTTTGACAAGTATATTGACCTACGAAGTGAATTTTTAATCTCGAAGGGGCCTCATTGCCATAGTAGAGAGATTTGCTCTATGCATGATGAAGCCATGGACTATTGCAAATTTATTCGGTCCAGCTCAACAGAAAGGTACTGAAACGATGCTGCGTGCGCGAAGAGTTCTAATGGGGTCACGCCTGAATCGCGCGCCCCCCTTCCATAGTTCCACAACGGTAAGAGATATGAGTGGCACTCGGAATCCGTGGGATCGGGGCTGCACGATGAATATCGCATTAATTCTACAACAAGCTTCAAAAAAACTTCCCGAGTCACGAACAATGTATGCGATCTTGTCTCGTCTCGGTGCAACACTATCCTTTAGCGGCTCGCTATCTTTGGAGGGATTTCAAATGCTCCTTCGAATTCTAATAAGAGGTTCAAGCTAACATTCCGCTTCCTCGAAAGCATTTCAAGCTACATATATCGCACCATTGTAATGTCATATCAAATGAAGGTCAGCTATGAACCTCGTTCGAACATCTTCTTACGGCACTGACAATGAACAATTGTGAGCAACACTTTCGGCCCATAAACGGGCATTATTCATGATGCGCAAACGCAAATTGCAGACAATGACTCGCCATGTGAATCTCCATCAACTCATGTAGCATCTGAACCTCTAGATTTTCACTGTGCCAGGTTATCCCGTCAACTGTTCCATTGGATGCGCTGGTCATCTCAGAATTTTGGCATGGTTGCACGGTCAGCTTCGGTCAATGCCAAAGATCATCATCAACGCCTATTCATGAGAAATCTTGAGAAGGAAGAGAAATTGCTGGAACGAAAAATTGTGTCGGTTTTCACGTGTGCTCTGTAATGCCTGTTTATGTTTTACATATATAACGAAACATATCTGCCACGGTGGAAGTAAAAAAGTGAATGTAAAGAAAGTGCTCCATCCATGCTCCGTAAGTATTACGTCTCTTTTCTGTTAACCATTTGAGAAAGTCCTGCAGAAGCATTTCAGTCGTCACTTGTCTATTAATCATATTGTTTCGAGACACCAGCAGGGCAGGTTTCACTTCTGGTCTTTCTGTTGGAACGAATATGATTGAGTGCCCGTACTTACTTGGATACTTGGAAACTTGGACGCTCGTTGTCGGCTGATAATCCTCAGCGGCGAGCACACGCTTCCATCCATTTTTGACGATCTTGAGCGGTTTGGGACCAGTGTTGACCATCGTTTCCCTGAAGTTTCTTCAGTGAATCACTCCATCTCGTTGCAGGACGGCCTAGTGTGCGTTTAATCTCACGTGGGTACCAGAACGTGACGCGAGTGGTCCACCTGTCGTCCGTGCGTCTAAACACGTGCCCTGCCCATCGTTTCTTTGCGTTACACGCGTACACTTCGGCGTCACGGATGCCGGACATTGAGCGCATATCTGCGCTGCGGAGGTTGAGACTTCTCTGCTTTGCGCGGTTGATCTTCAGCAGCGTCCGCTCTAGAGCACTTTGTGCGCGAACCAGCATTAGCGTTGACGTCTTGTTCTCCACCCACGTCTCGGATGCGTAACAGAGTGCAGGCAATAC